TCTACTCCACACTCCCCCCATCATTCACTATGGTAAGATTTTTTGTTCTGATGATGCCTTATACCTGATCCCGTCTCATTTCATTTTTATGCAAATATATATCCAGTTTTGTCATCACTGTTTATTGACGAGACCGTCTCTTCTTCATTTAATGAATTTTGGTCCTCTGTTGAATATCAGCTGCCCATCAATGGGTGGATTTATGTCTGGCTTCTCAGTTATGTGTCATTGGTCTGTTTTCACTATTATGGCTGTACAACAGGTTTTGAGATTGGTAAATGTGAACCCTCCAAATTTGTTCTTTTCCCTATAAGGTTGGCACTAAGTTGTTCTAGCTACTGAAGGAATATTCATGGAAACTGGATTGCTGTGGCAACCTGTTTACAGTTCAATTGGGGTTGTATTGACATTTTCGTGTGAGGTCTTCCTATTCAAAAACATGGTCTGCTCTTCCATTTATCTTGATCTCTTGCTAGGGTGTTTTGTATCTTGATCTCTTGCTAGGGTGTTTTGTAGTTTTCTTGGTATAAGCCTTTGTAACACATTAATTTTTTCCTAAGTATTTTATCTTTTTGGCAGATATAATAAATGTATTTCTTTTCTTATTTATTTTTCAGATTTGTCTTTGTTGATGGAGAGAAAGAAATCTGACTGGTTTTTGATGGTTGATATTACACCTGCCACTTTGATGACTCTTTCTAGTAGTCCAGTAGCTTTCTTGCTGAGCCTCTGGGATTTTCTATGTACAGGATCATATCTTCTGCGAAGAGGGGTCTTTTCACTTCTTCCTTCTCGTATTGTTGTTGTTGTGCGGTGCTGTTGACGCGGATACTACTCATAGGGACCTTACGATCAGTAGAATGAACTACTACCTGATATGAGATCATTTTCATTTTCTTTTTCTGTTATCATATGAGATCACTTTAATTTTCTTTTTGTTATCCATCCCTGAAATTTTAGTATTAATCTTCTGGATTTCTAGTTACAGTTTTTATGTGATTTCTGACTATCTGTCCTTTTTTTTTTAATT